CAGACGATGGACCCTATTACAGCACTTCCTTTGCGTACGCTCGGGAAATAAAAAGACTTATATTTATCCGTCCGTAAGTTAAGTAACGGTAAAATTATAATTATTACTATTATTAATTAATTATTAATTATGGTGACGCTTGTAAACGTAACTTACAATGCTCTTACATCACAGTAACGGGTGCTCGACTGAAAAATCACTCAGAGTAGGCCTTGGAATACCATTTGATACAAACGGCATGTCTGTTCTTATAGCAGGTTATGTTTTTGCCACATGGATGTTATAAGAAAAGACATGCCGTTTGTGTGAATTGAAATTCCAACGCCTACTCTTGAGTGATTTTTCAACTGAACACCAGTTATGTATACACATAACACAGGTGGTCCTCATAAATTTTAAAATAATTGTAACTAATACCGAATAATGTTGATAATACTTACAATTCAAACAAATTACATTTTCTGCAACAAAAAAGTATATGCTACGTTTCATTTGCCTCACGAAAGCAAGAAAACGAGACTGACTATACGTATGTGGAAATATTTACTGCAAAAGGAAACGAGCCAACGCTTTACGACTATGTTTGTATAATGTGTTTGTGGGTGTTTTAGAAACAGATGTTTAAAAGTTTTAGTTGTAAATTCTCCTTGTGTGTTTTGGAACTCGTAACGGGAGTAATGGGACATTTGGTTTTTGTGGTTTGATTATTTATTCTGGAAGCAGTCGACAGGGTTGTTATGGCAATACTCTAAACAGAGAACAAAATCTCCTAGTCTATACATTTTTTCGGTAAGCTGTAAATATTATGTTCGTACCTACGGCATTAGCAAAAAGTTGCACCAAGGCGCATTTAACTCAAACTGTTAATGTGTTGTATTTAGGAAGTAATTCTAATGAGTAATGACAAATTAATTATTTTTTACCAAGAATGTCCACTAGATGTATGCATTGCAAAAATGGTTAACAATCTTAACTACAGATTTTATAATTACGTTTTAAAAGCTAAAATTAACAGTAAAACCAAGTCAAATAGTAACATTTTATGTTCTTTGTAACAAAATGATTGCTGGATTAGCTTCTTTTAAGCTTTAAGTTAATTCCTCCAAAATAATAATTATTACTATTATTAATTCTAAATTCTAGTTGTTGCGAAGGTATTTAGTAATAACTAGTTTGAAGTAGAGAGAACGCGTTTTAACTGAAAACGGGTTTTAACTGTAACATATATATAGTTAAAAGTTAATCTGAAAAACAAAGATGTTTTGAAAAATATTCACCTGCAATGCCAAATTATTACTGATCAAAATGGTGGATCCCTATGATCAAACGTTGGGGGTCTCATCCATTGTTTTATATCCATTTTTGTTGCCGATTCACTCTACTTTAATTAATAATAAGAATAATAAATAAATAAAAAAACTACATAATTATAAAATTATTAGTAAGTATGTGTTTAACAGAAAAATGTGTGTAGTGTACCGATGACATAGTTCTTTATGCTGGTCACAATGGACGAAACTGTCGATTACTATACTTCTTTAGTTTACACCCAGGAAGTAAAAATCATATTAATTCATGCTGCTATATACATGTGTAAACTTTCATCCAACTTAAACATATTTTTTCCTCGCGTAATCCATATTACATGTTTAACTCATGGTATATTTAAATGGAGTGACTGAGGAAATTAGAAATTTATTTCCAATAGTAAATGATTTAGTCAATAATGTAAAAAACATTTTTGTTAAATTTTGTTGAATTACCTTTGAGAGTACAATTTTGTGCACAATTTACCAATACCACCACAACCTGTTGTAACTAGGTGGACAACATGGTTAAATGCAGTTGTATTTTATACCAAAAACTACAATGCAATTAAGAAATTTGTTAATGAGCTGTCAGATGATGCTACTTCTATTAAAGAATCTAAAATAATTTTTGCTAAAACTGAACTACCATCTGAATTGGCATTTATTTCAGCTATTTTCTCTCTAGTTGCTGATATAATTTTAAAACTTCAATGTAACAATTTAGCACTGGTAGATACTTTTCAGTTAGTAACAAATTGTTTTCAAAACCTATCCAATGTTCAAAGTAAAATAGGTGAAATTTAATTCTATTTTAGAAAAAAATGTAGGTTTTACCACCTTGTCGCATGTGAGTAAAATTTTGGAAGGCGAATTTGTAAATGTGGACTGGACATAGATGTTGAAAAATCGTTTTCAATGTTAAGACAAGTGTGAAGAGCGCGAATCATTTCTATTGGAAAATTTTAAAAAACATTTCATAATCAATAGGTTTAATAAAAATTATAACTAAAATACAAGTACATACTGTGTAAACAGCATTTTCTTACATACTTTATTTAGTTATACTTAATTTGAATTCTTATATTGCAAATAAACGTTACAAGACCTGAACTTTAACAACATAGGTAATTAAAAATGTCATTTTGTTTTATTAGACATATTCCAATTAACTATTTGCATATGCATATTTTGCATATTTAGCTAGATATTTTTATTTACGTGCACATTTTGACCAAAAATGTGTTCATGTTATGCGCATATTTCTTCGATATTTTGATGCATACAATCGGCGGGTTACCCATAAAATTGTAGACTAAATAAATTATCAAACTCCTTTTTTATGTATTCTGACAGAGTTCGAAAAAAGCTACAATTGGTCCCTAAAATGTCTTATGTTGAGAAACTTTTGGAAAGCAATACAGACGAATATACCTACCTACATAAGTTTTAACATAATGTTGTTTATAAACAAATGAAATTAGATATTACATTCGCTTTATTATAATGTGCTGTGGTTTTTTTTTAACAACAAATATAAAAACCTTACAAAAATAAAACTCGTCGACACCAACAACGTAAAAACCAACATCATAAAAAAAACCAACAAGCAAATTATAATGATGATTTATCACATACTTATTACAGGCTTCACAAACCCATAATTACTAGTAAGTTCTTTCAAACTATTAATTTTTAAAAAGGATACCGTCATTATTGAGACATAAGATATGTACATACATGAAATCTGCTGATACATTGAAAGAGAGTACCTATGTTTGAAAAAATATTTGTGGTCACTCGAAGTGTAACTGTCACATTTTCCACACCCACATCGACAAATCTAAATGCAACTCGTTTCTATTTTCAGAGAAGAACGGTCACCCACACGATCACAAACAGTCATTTGTGCGAGTTCTTTCTTTGTTCGTAACACAACACTAAAAAACTTGTTTTCCTAAAATGCTCTATCAACAAACGTAGTCAAATAATAAGGTACTAGAATATGACAGTAAGTGTATGTTAAAGTTTTAAATATTTATTTCTTTCAGCATAAAAATTTAACGAATGTAATGAGAAATATATATACTTATGAAACACAAAAGCACCCATTCGTTATATGCCACAACAGATCTTGCAGAATTACCCACTTAATCTTTGACAGACACTTTGTTGGGCGTGTTGGACAAATAAAGAACTGAATTTAATTTAAGCAAGACGAAGATGTAGCCTGTGGTTAAACAGAACCGGATTCGTTAAATTCTGAATGCAGTTGGTTTGTTATACGATTTCGATAAAAGAAAAATAGAAGGCAAATCCAGCCCCAATATTAGCTTTTGGCGCAAATAAGATGTAGAAATTATTTATTTGTCAAGAAGTGTTTTTCACCGATAATAACATACATACACGAAATGTCTTTAAAGATGTATTGTTGAAGTTATTTGTTATTTTTTCCTTACAGCGCACTAATTTTAACGTCTCTTTCAAAAAATAAAAATTCTTAAATGGACTATTTTTTATAATACCATTTATAGAAAAAAATTCGTGAACTTGGCTGTTAACTGCAAAATACTTACATTAAACGCAGTAAGTAAGTACATGTAGTAATATGCGTTATAATAATAAGTTAATTACAATTTCGTTTGTTTTGTTGTTACGCAAATTGGACACGTTTTTGTTAAAAGTATTGGACGCATATATCCAGATTAATGTAGGAGAAATTGTACTTATACGCCGTTTCGAAAACTACGCAACGGGAAACGTGTCCGTATTTTTTTACATAAAAATGTAAAAAATGTAAAATTAGATAAAACGTAGGTACTTTTTTACCAACCAAATCATCATTCTGAAGTTATTTTTAATCTACTTCATAAGGTGGCGTAGCTACATGTTAAAAGTTTTTAGGAATCTAGTAGAGGTCTTGCAACACTCGTTTTGCACATACTTTAATTTCTTGTCCATTGAAACGAAATTAAACTTCAATTCTCAATTGTGGTACGAAATGTAAGTTTCTTTAGAATTTAAAACGCAGTTTTATTACGATCCTTCCACCATTTATTGCTGTTTATTTTAATTATTACCTTACAGTCGTGGATTTACTTGGCAGAAAAACACTGCAATCTCCCTCATTATTTTTATAAAACTGAAAACAATATGGTTACTAAAAAATTTCTGAAAATATGCATGTATTATAGGCATGGACACAAATTACCGAAATTGTTTGGGAGATTGATGTGATTGTTACTTTCGAATGGGATTTCAATTAGTAATTTTCATATATTTACATCCAAAGTTTTCGATATAATTAATTTACTCTTTAGAATATCTGGCCACAAAACTATTGTTTTTCCTGAATTACACTCATCCACTATCCACAAATATATATTAAAAAGCCGAAGAAACTGCATGAGTCTGGTACGCAGTTTGTAATTGAAAATAAAATAGTAAAAATAAAAACAATAATAGTATTAACAAATATAGAAAAATAAAAAAACTCAATGTTAAATTGAAATCGTTACATTATTGACAGATTTTAGTTGTTTCAATACTGATAGTTCACTTTGCATAAACCCAGGAAATAATTAGCAGTTTAAGCTTGAATTGAAATAATAGTAATGACTATTTAACGGAGATAATAATTATTTATCATTAAAAGCACTGTTCTGCAAAGCATTAAATATTCAGAGTACGAACCTGGAAGTTGAAACTGTATGGGGCTCTACTCTACGTCGCATGTGGTTGAGAAGTGAGGATATCCAAGCTGGTTTTACCGGCCCTTGTCTCAGGGACACTTTACTTTCTTGATGGTAGGCAGATAGTGGCAAGAGTGGGTTGTAGCACGACTGCAAAGAAGGTACTATCGTTCTTATTTGACAATTTTAAACTCTATGAATTAGCACTTATTTTATAAAAACACTTTTGTGCAATACATAACAGATGACTGGTCATTTACATCATAAGTTCATAACGTAATTAATCAAAGCAGAAAATTATAAAACAGAAAATTACGAAATAATAGATGGATACATGGGGCGGAGGCGGGGAATAACATATTTTTACATAGATATGACAGATACCCAAATTCACCTCAACATGTCAGCATTAATATACGCTGACCGGCAAAAAAAAGGCCAACCGAAAATATTTACACTGTTTCTCTTACTTTCTTATATTAAATTTAATTCTGTATTAATTTGTATCTTATTTTTTTAGCTAATTTGTTCATCCTGTGTCAACAGGGAGTGCTTTATTAATAAAATAACAATCGTTAGTTAAAGTAATAATTTATTTTTAAAGGTTTACAGATATATTTCAGGGTCGCCGTGTGATTTTATTGAACGAAATATAAAATTGGTGGGTGTTATTTTAACTGAGTTCTTATGTAGGTGTATATGTATATACTATACAGGTCGCTAGAATGTATGGAAACGCTTAGATATCTTGAGACCCAACTGGACAAATCACCTGAAATTAGGTACAGAGGTACAAGAAGTGTGTTTGTGAAAAAATATATCTATATATTTTGCTTCATTTATTTTCGAGATGCAAGACCAACTTGATTTATTTTAAATGGCACTACCATATAATTCATGCATTTTTGAATAAGAGCTTTTTCTCTGAATTCATTGATGTACCACAATGATACTTTGTTTTTGATAAAAACGGCAAAATAAATTAATTTAAATAAGAATAAATAAAAAAGAAAGATGACATAGTTATGTTTGAAAATAATTTTAATCTGACATGTAGGTAAGGTGTTTTTGCAGAAATGGTGCATCTAAGTGAAACTGAGCGCATTGAATTATTTATTAATGATAATGATTATATTTATCGGTTATGGTGCCAAAAGACCAAGTTTTACTCAAATAGTAACATTTTTCAATGAAATTAAAAAAAAAATTAAAAACAAATATTGTTTAATTATTTTACCATTCCAATCAGAAAGAAAGTATGAGGTATCAATGGATTCAGAAAAAAAAAGCTCTATTCAAAAATGCATTAATTATACAAGGTGACTGCGAAATACATGCAAAAAAAAAAATGGGGAATAGCTCACAATATGATTATGTCACTGGGTAAAATTCACGGTCCTAAGTAGTAGCAGTGTCTAGAAAAAATTATTTGAAATTCAATGTAAATTGTTGTACGCGCCGCTGGACTGTTTTGTGACCTACATAATTACTACAATGAATGGAACAGAGCGAGTCGGTTAAAGAACCAAAAAAGTTACTTTATCAGGCACTTTTTTAATCGCAACGTGAAAAACACGAAAAGGGCCAGTTAGCATCGAGCGGTCGGTGAAATCGGTTTATGGTGCAGTTTTCCCATGCAGATTGTGTCGATATGGTAATGGGTGCATCAGTGGTACAGCATCTCCGAGATCATGGTACCTTCAACCTCAAACTCACGATCGTGGCCGTGATAGGACAGAAAGAAGAAGTTGGATTTTCACAGCTTGTAGTGCATCCTACATTAAAAGAATACGGCCACATCCATACCATGTTGACAAAGTACAGGGTTTGGAGCCCGCTGATTGTCCACCTTGTGTAACTCACTTTTTGTCCGATGGAACTCCACGTAGTCGTCAACAAGTACGATTTCAAGAGACGGTTTTCGATAAATGTGTATCAGTTGGATGAAACAGTTCGTTTGTGGAAATCAACAGTGTCCAGAAATTATCGAAGAGCTTCAACAAGTGAAAGTGACACCCGCTACTCCGGTGTTTTTTTACCTATCAACAAACCTCTTGCGACGCTCTGACGCCTGTATTGCTAGTCAAGGACAACATTTTCAACATTTCTTGTAAAAAGGTAGTAGCATTCTAAGTTGCTCTTATTTCTGTTCCAATAAACAATGTAAAATCGTTGTGACAAGGACCAAACATCCGTCAGAATCAAAATTACCAAAAAACTTTCACACTGACCTTTAACGATGAATGAGTAAATGAATGAACGAATGATAAGCAGCAAAAAGTCGGTTGTACTTTTAATTGAAACTGAAAGTGTTTAGGTCGTTTTTATTCAAACGTTTTTCCAACTCTGTTTACAAGGTGGCTCAGTGCCTTCGTATCGAGGGTGGTTCATGGGGGTTTTGCCCCATTCGATTTTTAATTTCTTTTTTCTATATTTCGGCTCTACTAGGGTGGGGGATGCCGTGGTTAAAATATTTGCACTTATTTCGCAGTCACCCTGTATAGTAGTGCCAAAAAAAAACATGTTGGCCTTGTATCTGGAAAACAAATAAAGCAAAAATATTTTTTTTGGTGAATAATTAGAGTACAACCTCTTGTACCCCCGTGCCTAATTTCAGTTGATTGGTACAATTGGTTCTCTAAACATTTAACAGTTTCCGTATATGTATACCTATCCAACCGCCGTTACTAAACCCGACGTTTTAAAGAGGTGTTACGAAGCCCGGCAGTTTTTTAGCGTATAATACATTCAGTTTAATCGCTTTTTCAATACTAAACTTAAAAAAAAAGTTGAGGGAAATTATACTACGGGAAAAAATAACACCATATTCATCAAGCGATACCAAACCTCCAACAGCTTTCTTATTAGTCCCATTTCAAATAAATAACAGAGTAAACCGACGTTATCAATTCCAACATTGTTGCCACATTAAATTTATTGAGAATTGCTTCATATTGTATTGACCATTGAAATTTCTTTTGAAGAATAAGAGTATGTAAATAAACGCTAACCAACATTTGAGTACCTATCCCAACCAAAAATTTGGCGACCTCTGAAAAGTTTGTAAAGTGCTGCTTGAAATTTAAGTGTAAAATAATATCTTTTGTACTTGCAACACATTACCCCAATCTTCTTTTTGACTTTAGCCTTGCAGATTTGTAAAAAAAATATTTTGCTGCAAAAAGTTTCTAGTTTATTTAAGACAGTTGGTATGCGATATCCATAAAATTTTTCATATGTTTAAATGTTTTCTTAAACATAAGATGAATAGGAAACCAAAATTTGTTACTATTAGTATCCTATATAAAATTTGTAGAATGGAAAAAAAACCTATTTTTATCACAAAATAACTAATTTAACACTCATTTTTCTAAAATTGCACATTCTGTAAGAGTAAAATTAATATATCAAATACGTAATTAAAATTTAAAAATTACGAAACAAGTAGTAACCACCCCTTTTTAAAAGTATCATTCTGTGATATAAAAGAAGAAATTTAAACAAAGCTGATAGCGTAAAGGTGGAAACCACACTAGCAAGTATACCGGCTAGTATGGTTCTGCCTTATGAGGCACAGCAAAATGCTATCTGCTACATTTTAAGCTTGTTTACGTTCTTAAATAGACAATAATGGTTTAATTAATCGTTGGTAATCTTGGTGTGAGTACTCAAGACAATACAAAACGTTTATAAATTTACAGACGTATCTCGAAAGAACTGGATCCCTTGTAACATGCATAACAAACGTTGCAAATAAATCAACCCATGTGATATAGAATATTCGCACTTTGACAGTTTTCTTTCCAACATTTTTTTTGTTCTATTATAGAATATGGGTGCATAATTTGGTCGCCTATCTATTAAGTACCAAAGAATGAATCGAAGCTGTGCAGGATAAATTTGTTACATTCCTAGGTTTCCCCACGTTGTAGGTAGCGATAAAATTTTTTGTAGAATTTACATTGAATTAAATCTATTGGAGGCTAGACATGTATTCCTCAAAATTGGTGTGCGATGAGGGTAAACTCTTAGATTCTCTTTATTTAAATGTCCCGTATCAAATCTAATAAAATTAGTCACATTTTTACTCCACTAATGTCCATTTAATGTGCTTTACAAAGAACTAAGGGTTTTCTATTCAGAACATTGACTGATTACTCCTTGTATCATTGTGAGTCAATGTTTCTTAAAATGCTTTATGTGTTTAATCGAAATTTTTATCGATGAATATATCCACCGAAACCCGATTTGAATATAAGTAACCAAGTTCCGAACTTCCAATAAGAATGAAATAAAATATGAATACGGGTACTCACAGTGAATTAGAAACAAAAAGGGGTATTAGAAAATACATGCAAATGTACACTATTCTCCACAATGCAATATAGATTTAATTCAAACACTTCTGAAGTGACATCATCAGGGGGATTAAATATAAATTTTGATTAGGGAGTTACCACGTTAATGAGAACTTTAAGCCGTATGCAAAATTTCCTCGGAATCGTATTTGAATTATCTACACACATAGAAGCACTTATTTTTCATGTTTTAACACCACGACAGCATTTATTTAAACAAATTTTAAGATGGTGTCATAAAATTTTTGGAGGGGATGAATAAATAAATTCTAATCAGCGATTTGTCGTGTTCAGAATAGCCTTAGAGTGTGTACAAAATTTCTGGTCACTCGATTTTTGTTTGCTAAGGTATACTGTAAATTTATCTTGCATACCAAATTTTAATTATTTTTTAAAAAACTTTATGGACTTAAACGTAAAATCAGGATTTGATCTACAAATCACATCTATGGAATAGGTATTTTGCATATCTTGAATAGAATTTATTTACAACAGTTTCTCTGTTGATGTTATTAGGGTGTTTGTGGATTTCTATATCGTCTCGAATTTTTCTAAATTCTATTATAGTAATATGGAATTTTAGCTGGGATTTTTTGGTTGCCGAACAGAATTCGCTGTTCTATTATAGCTGACGGTGAGAAAGAGCCAGATTGAATGCAACGTTGGTGTTCAGATACTCTAGTTTTAATAGAACGAACAGTTTCAGCTGTGTAGACTATATCACTTGAACAAGGGAAGGTAGGCAATAAACTACTTTACAGGGTGTTTAAAAATGATCCTGACATTGTTTTT